GGCACTGCTGCCATGGCTGGGCATCCTGGAGCACTGCCTGCAGCTGCACCCAGCCTGCCTGCCTCACTGATGCCCCTCTCTAGAGCTCTTCAGTGCTCTAGTCCCTTCAGACCTATTGCACGTATATTTTCACCACCTCTCTCCTGTTTGCTCTGCTTCTGAAGCTACAGCTCTGTCCCAGCAACCACCTTCTCCTCGTCCCATCCTCTTCACCAGGATTTCAGTAAACTACCTTCCCTAAAGCCACTGTCCTTTGGTCTGCAGCTCCAGAGGTTTCTCTTCTGTCTGAAAACAGCTCAGAGATTTAAACCCCTTCCTCCTCCCCACAACAAAGAAAACAAAACCAACTCACTTCCCCACCCCTTATCTCCTCCTGCCAGAGCCTCTAGAGCAGATCTGGTCAAACAGACTGGCCAGATCAGTTCCCTTCCTGGCTCTGTTTCTGGGAAGTGGATGTGCTGTCCATTGGACAGTGGAAGTGCCAAGCCTTGGCAGGTTCCCTACTTATTTGCAAGACATAAGCTGCTGGCGTGGTGTCAGATGTGCATGCAAGAAAGTTGGATGCCAGTTAAAACCTACAGTCCTGTTTGTTTCATGCACTGTGAACTTATCCTATATACACTACTGGCTGGTTTATGCTTGAAGACATGAATATAAAGGTATACATTTTCCTTTTGCCTTAGTAACCAAAGCTTTACTTTCACCCATGGAATAGCAGGGGTTTGCTAGCAGGGCTCTTATTTCCCTTTTTTTGTTGCACATTCTCTCGTTGTCTTTTCATTTCTTAATACTCAAGGTGAAGGGGGGATAGGAGGGGGACAGATAGAATTACAGTCCCAAGGTCCTAGTTACTAAAGGTCCCTGAGTGACAGCACGATACAGTATCAGAAAATGAAGCAGTAGAGTTGCGTTGGCCATGTAGATCCTGAGAGAGATTTCATTTCTGTTTCTGCTCTTCCTTCTCCTCTTTCACCTGGTGCACAACATCCTCCCCCAGCTCAGCTCCCTCAGGCAGCCTGGAGCATCCCTCATGTTCAAGTGCTAGTCTCTGCTAAAAAACCATGACCCAGCAAGGAGCAATCCTGCTCCAATCTGCCAACAAACCGAGCTCTGAGCATCGCCTTCTGCACCACTGCAGCAGAAGTCAGGAGCAGCTCCACTTTGGAACAGCACTCACACCCCTTCCTCCCCCTTTCCCCACTGCTCTCCCTTGCTGAAGGAAAGGAGGACAACAGTGGGCATGCAAGATGCAGCATGGAAATCCCCTCCACCCTTCCCATAGCACTCATGCTTGTGATGGCTTGAAACCTCTGAGCCTTGAGTATGATTAAAATGCCTGTTTTTCTTCACTATCTCCTTTCTGGATTGCTGGACCTCAAAACAAGGCACGGGCTTGTTGCCTTCCTTAGGGGTGGACGCAGAGAGCCGTGGAGGGGGGACAGGGAGGTGCCACCTCCGTTTGGGAGGAGGGCATTTCTAAAGGCCTGCAGCATTCCTCCCTCACCCCAGCACGAGAACACATCTTCTATTACTCATCTGACTCACAGGACATTCAGTTGTTCTCCAGCATTCTGCCCCATCCTCAGAAGTTATAAGGCAGTTCCTGAACTGTGAAAAGTCCTGACTGCACACTCTTTGGCAAAGATTATTGTGTCGGACCAAACAGTCCAGATGTCCGGACACGCTGACTCCATGAAGTAAAACTGACCTGGTAATACCAAGTTAGAAACATTCAAAGAGAGAAACTAGGATGACTCCTGGTAAGAAAGAGAACCCAGCCAACAGAGAGCCGAGGCAACAGCAAAGGAGCCTGGCTCCCAGTCCCAGCAGGTGAAGGAATAGGCTGAGCAGTGCTTTTTCCCTGGAAAGCTTTTGGATTGTCACGGTGAAATTCTGGGCTCAATCTCTGATTGAAGCCTCAAATATTAAACACAGCCCCCCTGTGCCTGATCCCCAGTTCCTGGAGGCCCTGGGCTGTACCTGCAGGGCTGGATGGGGTCGGTCAGGACCCCACTCCGTGTGGGGCTCAGCACCCGAGGAGCAAAGAGCATCAGTGGGTTCTGCAACATCTGTGTGCTGCTGCCCCTGCCAGCCTTTGGGACCAGCTGAGAGAGCTCTCAGGTGCCTAACTCCTGTCACACATTTGTCAGGATTTTACTACAGCCATCAAATTACTGGAGTTCCTGAGTCATCTCCCTCAGCTTGCTAATTTCTTACCACACAGCCATTTGTTTTCCCTCCAATCTTAATAGGCTTCTTATAACTGCCTCTTTTTTCCCTACTTTTATCGTTCTGACCACCCTTTACATTGTAATCACATATATAAAGGGTAGGTGTTTAGATATTTCATTTAATCATCAATCATCTGGTTAGACTCCCCTTAAAAACTGAACCTACTGATAGGCAGTCTCCATCTGGGAACATGCATATATCCACTGACATTATACTACTGATGTCATAAAACACGACTTTATGACTTCCACTAAAACATTTAAAAGATAATTCTGAATAGAATCCCATGGAGAAAGCGTGACTTTCTCCATTGGCCAAGCTTTAAATTCCCCTGTTTTGGGTAGATGGGACTGCCCATCCAGCCTCAGCCCTGTTATCCAGCTCCAGTCTCTACCCAGACTCTCATTCCTAGACAGACTCCATATTCAAACTGCAGTAAGAGTGGGAAACCCCATTTTTAACAGCATTGCTCCTGAACGTGGAGAGCAGTGAGAGACTGTTCTGCAGGGCAGTGGAGGATCTAAGTCTGATTTAACAATTGTGCTCAAACCTTGGTGAGTCCAGGGAGGCCTGGACCAAACGTGTGCACACATGAACACGGGAGAGGGAGACAGAGACGGGGGGATTGGGAAGGATGGATGCTCCACTTCTATGCTCCGGATTCTGCATAAGACACATTACTGATATAAAAATAATAATACTTATAACTCTGGTGAGGCCTGATCCTGCTTCATCCAAGCCATGGCAAAACTTGCCGTGACTTCAGTGTCACCAGGTCAGGCCTACAGCGATTCACATTTTCGTAGCGCTGTACAGACATAAATTAGTGAATCAAAGATGTGCATTAGATTCATCTGTCATCTGAAAAACAGGAGTTTCCCTGGTCTCAGAGGATCACTCTGCTCTCCCAAGCAATGGGAATCAAGGAAAAGGGAGGAGAACTCTAGCAGGAAAATAAAGGGATGGTTGGATAGAGGGCAGGGTGAGTGTCTGTGGGTCTCTCAGGAAAAAACTATCAGGTAGGAACAAGGTTCCCATCATTACTCCAGGAATGGCAGAATGACCCTAGGGTTAAAGTTTTGCACTTGTGAATACATTATTTTCATGGCTTTTATTAATATTATAAGGGAGATTATCAATCATCAGTCATCGCCAAAGTGGCCAGTAATTCAGTGGTTTTCCTGAAAGTCACTGGCTCCTTTGGAAAAAGCTGACCTTGCTCTTCAAAGGCCAAATTACCCTTCTGGGCCTTCCTAATGATTGCCTGTGGAGGGAAGCTGCTAGAGACTTAGGGGCTTCCACTAGCACTGACAAGCTCAGCATTTTCATTGCAACCTTCACCCTGCCCAGCCTTTGAAGACCATCCCCTTCCAGCAGGATGATGCTCCACAGAACTCTACTGCACCCTTAGCCACATCATCTGCAAGACAGGGCACGGGGGGGCTGGCTCTTCTCTACATTCTGCATGTATTAACAGACACAAAGCAAGGCCTGATAGAAGCAGTACAGATCAGAGGTTCCCACCCCAACCATTTGCTTCTGAGCTTCTTAGGAAAGGGGATAATAATAATTTCCATGTTTTTTTCATCCTGAAGCATAACAAAGTTAAATGACATCCAGCCTGTCCTGCACCTTGACTTAGGCTATGGTCACTTAGTGGGCTGGAGTGTGGAGTCCATTGTCTGGCATAAGGAACAGGAAAAGAGAGGGGGAAGGATTTTTAGAGTCCTGCAACTGCTTTTCTCTCCAAACCCTGTAAGAAAGATGCAGGGTGGGAATGACTAGGAACAACCCCTCCTTTCAGGACCGAATCAGCTTAGTCTCCTAGAGATCAGGTGCCAGCAGTGAACAGCAGCACTGTCCCATTGCTGATGCCCAGGTCCCTCTCTTCCCTCAGCAGTTGGATATTTGCACACTCTGCCTCCCCAGCTCCGTCTCTGGGAGTCAAAGCCGGGGCTCCGACCTCCAACCTCGCCAAGCTGCAATGAGCAAACAAACCCCTGCTATTCCCCCCGAGACACTGCCAGTTCAATGTCATCTGTGTTCTCTTTCTTTCTACAAAAGATATTACAAAACCCCCCCACTCCCCAGCTCCCCTCCCCAGAAAACATGCTTGCACTCACACAGCTGTATCAACACACGTGCCCCACACACACACACCCCCCACACACAACACACACTCATTCATCCAGGAAAAACAGCTTGCAAACTCCTGAAGGTGGAAAAAGGCATCTTGCAAATGTGCCTTGTTTTTGATAAGTTCCCTCCTCCCCCTCCCCCTTTCCCATAACCCCACACTGCCCCTTCCCTCCCAAATAATTGCCTTGTCCTCCCCCCCTTCCCGGCTCTTCCAAAATAAATATTCTTTTTTATTTGTTGGTTTAAAAGATTCTTTCAGGCTCATAAGCAAGAGAGAGGGAGAGAGGAAAGGAAAAGAAAAATCTCCTAAGCATGAGAATGAAACCCCATCATCTCATGAATCCATGAGAGAATAAACACGAAGGGGTTTTAAGAGCAGTGGCAGAAATATTAAAAAATATAATAAAACTGAAAAGTGAAAGATGAAGTTCAGTAGTGAAATGGAAGTGAGGATAGCGCATTAGTGAGCACAGCCAAAAGATAACCTATCACCCCCACCAGTTTTTGACTCAATTTCTTTAAATCTCCCCCCTCTTTTTAAAAAACTTTTCTTGGTTTTGGGGGTTTCTTGTGTTGTTTTGTTTGGTTTTTTTTTTTCCTTTTTTCTGTCTTTTTATCTTTTTTTTTCTTTCCTTTTTTTTTTTTTTTTTTGGTTTTTGGCGGTTTTTTGTTTTTGTTTTTTTTACAATGGTTTCAGTCCTTCAGCAGGAAACCAAAATCAAGACAAACACGTCCCTCCCTGAAACCACACCCCCTCCCATACCCTTCTCTCCCTTACCCCGCCCCACACTCCGCGGTTCTACATGTGCTGAAAAGAGAAGAGTAAGCTTAGAATAAATCTAATGAACCATAGGAATAAATGACAATGATAGTAAAGAGTAAAACCCAAACCCAAAAGACCACAACACTCCTGTGTTGGCATTGTCTGAGCGTCTGTCCCTATCTCTCTCTCGGCGGCCGCAGGCATCAATTTACATAGTACAACCAGTAAACAAGGTTGAAGAATCCAAAAGTGATTGGAAAAATGATTCGTGACCACTTGTCAATGGTGCTGACGTCTGTCAGGTCTGGGATTTTGAGCTTCAGCTTGGAGGAGCGCCGGCGCAGGCGGCAGTTGGCGCGGTTGCGGGCCGCGGCGTGGTGGCTCAGCGGGACGTGGCGGTCCAGGGTCGGGTGGTGGCCAAATCCGTCCCGAGAGGCCAGAGGCTTCCGGAACTGGATCCCTGAGCCTTCAAAGGACATGACAGAGTTTCGAGAGTCGCCAACGCTGCTCATCATGTCCGTGGCCAGCAGCTCATTGTTCATCTCCAGAGTGCTGAGGAGGATGTTACCGTAAGGGTCAACCTGGAACGGGGGAGACAGAGAGAAAGGTAGTGGGGGTGTCCTGTGCAGGATGCACCCACCATTGGGGGGGGTTTTGAACTGTTTTCTGTGTAACAAAACCACTGATGGGGTCATTTGTGGGCTCTGAACATGCTGCATTCGAAAGTGTTGCCTGCTGCTGCTGGAGTCCAAGGACCAGCCACGTGTGCTTGCAGCCCACTTTTGAGTGGGGTGCTGTGATTGTGTCAGCACAGTAGGACCAAGAGCCACAGGGGTGCTTTTGGGTACACCTGCCCCATGCAAGGGGGTAAGTCCTGATGAGACCTGTTTGTGAATGATGAAAAAAACATCAAGGAGAAAAAAAATTCCCAACCGTCAGCAGACAAGGGGAACTGGAGTTCATCTCTCCTGATGAGGACAGAGGCTGCTCCACAGCTCACCCGGGACAGAACGAACAGTGGAGAGCCCGAATCCTCCTGCCACAAGGAAAGTAGAGGACAAACCTGCTCTCTCACCCTCTTCTCCTCGTAGCGGTGGCGCTCGTTGTTGGCCTTGCTGATGCGCTCACTCTGCTTCTTCTGCTGCCGGGGCCCTCGCCCGAAGAAGATGTAGTTGACAAAAGCGTATTCCAGGAGCGCCAGGAACACAAAGACGAAGCAGCCCATGAGATAAACATCGATAGCCTTCACGTAAGGGATCTTGGGGAGAGTCTCCCGCAGATGGGTGTTGATGGTGGTCATTGTAAGGACCGTGGTGACCCCTGTAAGGAGAGGGTAGGTGCTCTGTTACCGACGTGGGACGGCTTCCTGAAATGCCGCTCTCGGCTCCCCCGCTCCTCCCTCCTAGCTGGACAGCCTTGGGAGGGATGGGAGAAGTGCAACTGGGGAGAAAATCCTTATTATTCTGAGCCCTGGTGCCCAGTACAAATCGCTGCAGAAAATAAACCAGCTGCAAACAGTGGGAGAAAATGCCAAAGCTGAGTATCGTCAGGATGATGGGCATCAACACCTTCTGGACCTCGTTTCTTTAAGTCCTCCCCGATTCTCCTTTCTCTCAGTGGGGTAGGAAATATTCACTTTTCCTCTGTTTTTTAACCTCTTCTCCTCCCCTTTTTCTACTTCATGAACTCATCAGGCCTCACTGTGTGCTCCTGAATGCCTCAGTGTCCTTGACATGAATTTCTAGTCTTTTATGTCTTTCCAATGCTGTTAATAGGAGAAAGAGTAAAGAGATTCCCTCTTCACTCTTTTTTCTTCCTCCCTCATAGGCTTTTGTCCACATCCTTGACCCTGTCAATGCCCACCTACCTCTCACCAGCTTTACCACTCATTACTTCAATTATCACCTGTACACCCTCCTCCCATGGTTCTCACACTCTCTTTTTCAGGCCTACTCATATTTTTTGCATCTTAAATAAGCATTTCATGAACACTTCCCCCCTCCATCTACTCAGCCTCCAAAAGCCTGGTGCACCATGGTTACTCTCACAGCTTCAGTCCTCTCCTTCGGTTCTTCTCAGACTCTTCCCTTCTCTGGATTATCAGAATGGCCTCAGATCTGTTGATTTCTGTTGAAATCTCAGATTTGACAGTCTGTCATCTCCAAAAAGATGGCAATGAGCCCTCACAATTCTTCTGTGGGTGGTAACTCTTCCTCTTCAGCTCAGTCTTCTTCTCTCACTTCTTTAGCTCAGCTGCCCTTACTGACTACCTTGTTGTTCTCATTTTCTTCTGTTGTCCCTCCTCCTTACCTATCTGTTAACAGCATTATTAGTCTCAGTGACCTTAATTTGCTCCTCTGGTTTCAGCCCTGCCTCTACAGTGATGGCAACTCAAAGCTCTCTCTGCATCCTGGACCACTGCTGGTCCTGTTTCCCCTTCACCCTCGTTGTGTCTTTAGTGTAAATTCTGACTAAAGACTTAAAGAACTGTTAGTCTTCTGCTAAACAGAAAGGAGATATATTTCTATACATACAATATATTGTATTGTCTGTATTTAGGCAGCAATCTAAACATCCAGAAATCTGAGGCAAAGGAAGGGGGAATAGAATGTTCTCCATGGCTCCTTTAAGAGCTGGACAAATTGCAATGGAGACCTAGGGCAGAGGCAAAGAAGAGCTTTTTGACTGTATGAGCAGGTAAACCTGGAGATGAAGTGACCAGAAGAGCAGAGTTTCCTTCTTTGGAGCTTTTAAAGCATAAGTGAGACAGAGAACTGTCAGGAATAGTTTTGGGAGAGCTGTTCCAATTCTGATCTACAATGTTTTTCTTGTCTTTTCCTTCAAATCCAGATGTCAGAAAACATTCACCAGCTGCACATCTCACATCCACCCTTCTGCTTGTGCTTTCACTGTGCCAGCAGTGTCTGCCATGGTCTCTTTTTCTTCTCTCACTGATTGTACTCTTGTCAATGTAACTTACCTTTTTAATTTACTGTGTTCTTCTTCCCTCCCTGTCTCTCTGCTCCAGCCTCTCCAAGCAAGCACAGCCAAATCACCTATTTCACAAACCATCCCTCCCCTCTGAGTCTTCTCAAGCTCTGTCTTCTCCTAGAGTAAATTTAAACCCCAACCTTTTCTGTGAGACCTGTGCTGCATTGCCTCTCTGAGCCTTTTTCCACTCACAGATCCAATCCTGCTCCCTCCCTACCTCTCCTATCACCTCTGAACTTTATATCACATTGTACAGCCCCATTCTCATATGCCAGTCATCCCCTCTTTCTCCTGTTCCTTCTTCAAAATCCTCACCTCCAATCCACCCCCACTTCCCTTCTGTTGCTTAAAAGACCTCATTTTTTTTCTTCTCATAGGAAAACATTCCTATTTAGGGGACCTATGTGCTTAAGAAGAACTTGAACTTAACTACTGGCCTCCATTTGCCTTGGCTATGAAGATCTTCAGCTACAAAAAGTGTCTGGAAGGGGCCTGAACTATCATGAAAATGTGTAATGCCCCTTCCTCCCTTTCTTTCATCTTTTAACCATTCACAGGCTGCTCTTTGGCCACCCACCCTCAGCATTTATCATCCAGCTAACCAGTCCTGGCACAGCTGTTGACAAAGAGGTGCCCAGATTTGTCTTCTTAAGAAAACCAGCACAGACCAGAGTGAAGGAGCCGGTGTGCTTGTGGCATGTCAGAATCCCACACCTCTGAGAATCTGTGACCATCCATGTTTTTTTAGGGAGTTTAAACTCCTGTGGCAGAGCTTTTACCCAAAACCATAGCTCTTCTGATCAGAAATTTAAAGTTTGCTCTCAGGAAAAAAAAAAAATGTCCATTGGGGATGACAGCTTTGACAGCTCTATGGGTTTAACTGCTGCCTCACAAAGAAAAGGGATTTTCTTTCTCCCAGGTGACCTCCCTCGTGGAAACACCTTCTCCAGCACACAATGGGAAGGTACATACCCAGGGCCACTCGTGCAGCAGAAGCATCGTAATTGATCCAGAAGGACACCCAGGAGAGGATGGTGATGAGAATAGATGGCATGTAAGTCTGCAGGATGAAGTAACCGATGTTCCTCTTAATCCGGAAACTCAAGGATAGGCGCAGATAGGAACCTGCCAAGGACACAGCAAAGGGAGATGCAGCTTGAGAGGAGGGCAAGGCTGTATTGACGGTAAGAGCTTAGGTTGGGAGTTGAAATTTTATCTGGAAAATGTTCTCAGGAGGCAGGAATAATGAGAAATCTCTTTTTCTCTTCATTTGGTTATGCAGACTCCTCGGCTTTTGAAAGTGGTCTCTTCAGAATCTGCTCAGTTGTCTCAGAATATTAAGAAGAAAGAAACTAAATAAATTACATTATTATATCAGACACCATGGGAGAAGGGTTGTTATTATGGGACCAGCCAATTTGCTAGAAGCTTACATGGGAGACTTTAACCCTATATCTGGGTGCCATGAGATGATTTTCCAGTGTTTCATGTGCTACCTTTGCCTCCAAACAGCAATGAAGATCTGAATCACATTTTTCCCATGCTGTTCTAAAAATGGGTTATGGTCAGGCTGGGCAAATTCATATGCAAATAGAGTGGCGTTAGTTAATCTGTAGGTCTCTTTTTTATTATTTTCAAGTTGTTGCAACTTCCTCCTAATCTTTTGGCAAACCTAATGAGGATAGTGAGGACAATAAGTACTTTTACAGTCCTTCCACTGGAGCAGGCTAATTTTGACAAGAGACTCTTCCTTGCTGTGAAACAAAGTCCAAGTCATTCCTCCTTCCCACCTCTGTCCCTTAGGCGACACAGCAGCCTGAAACATGGGTTTAATCCTGGTTTGGCAGCTAAAGTAACAAGATAACAACAGATTTTAATGATCAAGGAGGCAGGCTGGCAATAAGGAGGTATTGTCCTCTCACTGATACTGAACACAGTATCTCACCAGTCTTTTTTTGAAGGTTTTACCTATTTAGACTGCAAAGTTCTTCTGGAGGAATAGTGCCTCTTGTTGTGGGTCTCTGGATTGCCATTGCAATGGGACCCTGCTCTCAGCATGCCCCCGAGACACTGTTGTGACAACATCACCATCTGCCACCGCTGCTGATACACCCGGGCTGCGTTCTCACAGCATTTCAAAAGTTGTGCTGTTTAACAGGTGTGGGGTATGCTGTTCTGGCACTGAACCCCACATCAGATCAAAGTGAAGACAGCAACCAAAATCCAAACCCCTCCAACCTGCCAGCTGGCAGTACCTGAATCGTCCCAGGTATTCTCACCAAACCTTTTAATTGCCCTGCACAGATGGGTTTGCATAATTTCATAGGCCACTTGCTTTTCAATGGATATATTATTCTTCTTACTATTGCACCTACCTTAGACCCAGGGGTACACCACAGAAAAATTAGATAAAGGCTGAGAACCTTCCACAGAGGTTCTGCTTTGAGCCCAGCTGATGTTTTGACTTAGAGAGGAGAACAACTGCAGCAAACGATCCTGTAAGTCTTTGAAGAGGAGCAGCAAAAAAAAAAAAACAAAAACAAGAACAACAAGGAAAGTTGGCAGGCCCAGAAGATGCCTCTTTTCTAAAGGAACAGTTGAAGCCTAGATCCTAAGTTGGTGCCTCAGCACCTGAATCAGAGGAACAGCCACGCTGACACCGATCAGCCACAGGTTTGCCCGCTCCACCCCATCCCTTCCTCGGACACTCACCCGTGGTGAAGACCACTTCCCTGCTGACCAGCCTCTGCTCGATGATGGTGAACTGGGGCAGCTCCAGCACCTCCATCCCCGTGACAGCAGAATCATTTCCTTGCCAGAAGAAGACGATGTCATCAACCGTGTAACCATCTGCAGAGAGGAAGAACCACAGGGGGAGAACTAAGCTGACAAGCTGGACCAGGTGACACCCCCCCCTTTTCACTAAGGTGATCTGGAAAAGGGCCCAAAAGAAAGTCCACACCATCAGACAGCAAGCCTAGACCCTCCCTCTCCTGTACTCTTCTTCAGCTGAGCTTGGCAGTACAGTCCCCAGGAGAGGAGGAAAATATTTGGTCAGAACACCCATTTCTGGCTAGAACTCAGGAGAAAAAGGTGAGACATGGCCCATTAAGCCTTGACTTGTGCTACATAATCTCCATGGCTGACATGACAGGGACTTGTGCACCAGAAGCCTCTGTCAAATGCACCAAACGCAGCATTTTGCTTTTTAAAAGCTGCCTACTTTTACCAGGAGGGGGAGACCACACAATACAGACTGGTGGGGACTGGGTAAACAGGGTATTGCACTGTTATAGATTCCCAGAGAGAGAAAGATCTACAGCAGCAGTTGAAAAGAAGTTTGAAGATGAGAGCACCTTCCTCTTCTAAGTAATCTCAGTTGAAATTGGGATCCCAGAAGTGGAAGAGTCTCTGAGATTGGGGGCTGCTTTTACCAAGTGCTGGCTGATGAAGGGCAGTCATGGGAGAAGAGAGGAAGGGGAGTCAGGCTCGTAACAAATATTGATCCCTTGCATTTCAGGGTAGTGGGTTTGTTGACTCAGCCAGGGGTACAGCCTCTTACTTTAACCCCAAACTACATGTGCCAATCATTCTGCAGCTCCTGGGTGGATAAAGGTCTCAGCAACCTGCTATGATCTCAAGAGCTGACCCTGCTTTGAGCTGTGGGTTGGACTAGAGACATCCCAAGGTCTCTTCCCAAACTGAATTATCTGATGACTGTGCAGTCTCCAAGCCCACATCCTGTGCTCTCAGTCATCACCACTCTTATTCATGGGTGCTAAAAAAAATAAAACCAATCTTCCAAATGCCATGCCACATCTGCTTCTGATGTAAATCAGCCAAGCCAGGGCACCACCTCTTCCCCCAGCTGGCATGCTCCTGCTCCCACAGCAGTAAGTGGTAAAGCCCCCACACCCAAGGGCCCACTCTCAGGTTATCCTCTCATCTGCTGCAGACACTGGGGTGTCGCAGGACGTGTCACTGCCTCAGTACCCCAGCTTTGTGCACAAGAACAGGGTGCAGCATCTCTCCCAGGGCACTCACACCCAGGGTGGGAAGCAGCAAGAAACAGCCGAGTCCCCCATTCCTCCCAGTGGCTGATTCCAGCAGCTCCAACACCCTCACAGCGAAAAACACTGTGTGCAATTTTACATCCAAATTCATCTGGCTCAGACTTTCAGGCTCTGATGGTTGCTCTGAGTTTCCCCAGGATGTTCCCAAGCCCTTTCCACCCAGCGCTCCCCCTCTGCAGAGGTGCACCCAGCCTGTAAACAATTCACCTCTCCACCTCCACCTTGCAGTTAACAAACCCGATTGAGCTATTGAGGTTTCTCACTGCAAAACACCTGCTCCAGCCCTTGAACCACTTTTCAGCATCCTCTCTCAACCTCTTCCGATTTGCCAACTTCCTTTCTGAATTCTGGAACCCAAACACAGACAGAGCCCCTTTTCCCCGTCTCACCAGGGACATATTCAGGGGCCAGTGGATTCTGGGCAGCCTGATGGCAGCCTGGCCCTGCCCTCCCACACCCAGACCTCTGTGTTTAGCAGTATTCCGACACATTCTGGACGGGTTCAAACCGGGAAGGAATCAAATGTGCAGCGAGCAAGCCCCACATGCTGCTGCCTTCATCATCCACAAATTTAACAGCAGCGACTTCAAATTTACTTCCTGAGCAGCAATGCAAATGTCAAATTACGGTAACTAATTTTAGGAGATTTTGCAGTTAACTAGCTCTGTTCCATTTGTTCGCTGACCTGCTGGTACCGGGCACCAATTCTTGTATTTTGATTTTTTTTTCTTTTATGGTGTTATGCAATACGAAATCAAACGTGTTTCTCGGGGAGCCATTTTTCAAAAGTGTTTCAAAAGGGAAAGGTTGTTCAGTCTAAAAATAAAGGCTTTGCTTTGATTTCTAGCTTTAAAAAGAAAACCAAATTTCCATTTTTCCTTTTAAAAGGTAAATGAACTTTCGCAAAGACAAGTCATTTCAATCTGAAATATCAAAAAAGTACTGATATGACGTCTTAAAATGTCAGATTAACAGCCTGTTTGCAGCCTGCCTCACCAGGCTTTTGTTGAATCCTGGCACACAGATGGGCAGGGGTACATGTGGTGAGGGCTATTTTTGGGGTGGAGGGATGGGATCAACAGGCAGTGCAAGCACTGGCTTTCCTCCTGCAGGGAAGTGCCTTGAGCTGCTGTGGGGCAGGAGATCCCCTGTGCCTGCTGCTGCTGCACAAACCCAGCACCCCTGCATCACAAAAGGGCTATTTCTCTGAGGTTTGGGTTGGTTTTCTTTCTAATATACTTTGGGGTTTAACCCAGCCATAACACGACCATTATTCTAGAGTTGTGTGGTCTTGGAAGCAAAGAAAATGGAGCCCTGCAGATTCTGAATGTGCTCTGAGGAAGGAAGCAACAGAATCTCTTCATCTCTGCCTGGATCTCAGGAATATTGTAAGGAATTGTAGCTTCAACGAACAAATTGGCTTGACATGACCCATTAAGAACAAAATCGCAACACGGGGAACTGTGGGTAATTCTCCGCCTTCTGTTTTCTTGGTCGTACTGTAAACTATTCTCCAAACGCTCAGGAGTGCCAGGAATGACATGACATGGCATTAGTGCCTCCAGCAGGACCTAATTTCCACCCCATTACCCGCCACGCCAAGCGCTGTGGTGGCAGCACATCCCGAGGCCCCGGCACGGGCAGGACGGGCACGGCCGTGCAGCACCTTCCCCCTGTGGGTGCTGTGGGACCTCCTGGATGGGAAAAACAACCCCCTGATAATCCCCACGGGAGCTGCACCGTCATTAGCTGTGAGATCTGCTGCTCTGGACCACCCCTGGAGGGATACTGCAGTGCATTTTTACCAGGGAGAGCTGGACCTCCTCCGCCAACGCAGCTGGAAGAGGATTTCCGTAGGAGCCAAGGGAAGATCCAGGCAGGGAGGGACTGTGGGAGGGCTCAGGTCCCACCTCCCACACAAAGCAGAGCCAGCCTCAAGTGAGGACAGGTTCCCAGGGCTTCCTTAGGGCTAAGGGAGGCTTCCACCACCCTCCTGAGAGCGATGGTAACACCCAGCCTGCTGCTACATTTTCCTGGGCATTCCCCCCATGAGGTCCCCTCAGGATAAAGTTTGGATGAGGGAGCCTGGTCCTGCCCCAGGGAAGGTGGCCCATAAGGACACAAGGAGGCATCCCAAGAGCGGGAAGCTGCGGCTGGGGCGGGTGGTGTCAGGTGGCACCGCGAGGCATACGCACAGCTCTCGATCTCCAGCGTGCAGTTCTGCTGGTCCAGGGGGTACCTCCGCAGATCCATCATGCAGGCGGCCGTGGTGGTGATCCTGAAAGGAGAAAAGGGGGAAAAAAATTAATAAAAAAAAAAATCAGTCATGGATGGGTTTTTACTTAACCAAAAAACAAAAAAAAAAAAAAAAAAAAAAAAAAAAAAAAAAAAAACCACAAAAAGAGAGAAATGAAAGGCAGGAGTGAAAGTCAGGCATCATTTGGGGCTGCTGTTTCCCTGGAAACCAGGGAGATCCGTGGTGGGAGGTGTGCAGGGCGGGGGGCTGGATGCAGCTCACCCCCCACGGCACACACCCTCCGTGACTCACGGTAGCGTCTCTGTTAACCGGGTGGGGAGGGATTTGTGTTCCTCCTCTGCCTCTCCCTCGGGAGAGACAAAGAACCTGGAAGTAGGCAGAGCTATGGCTGGGGGGGAAGAGGAGAGGCATGTCCGTATGCAAGAGGGAGACGGCCAACACGTGTCTGTGAAGCAGATGATGTATCGATTAAACCTCCCATCAATGACCTGTGGAGAGGAATATCTGACCACATCATCACCCCCCTTTCTGCCCTAATTGCCCCAACGACCCTAACTGCAGGTCCCCCCCCCCCCCACCTTGGCACTGCCACATCCAAAGCCCAGAGCCCACTGGCAGAGCCCTCCTGCTCCCGTGGGCTCACAGCTCCAGTGATGATTGTGTGATGGAGATTCAGGAAAGATACACGGGTGTGTGTGTGCAACCCCCCCAAAAATAACTGAGGGGGGGGAGAATGAGCATGGGTGGTGCTTTGGGGGCGTTGGAGCACGGGGTGGGGGCAGAGCAGCACTGTGGTGAGGTTCAGGTGAGGATGTGAGGAGGGTTTGTGCGTGCTGCGTGTTGTACACGCTGGAGCGTCGCTCTCTGGGATGGGGAATTTTGGGGTGGGATAGGTAAGGCACAAGGGCATGAAGCAGGGACAGAGCTAACTCACCAGCCTGGCAACACCGCCCTGCAGTTGACAGGCTGCCCCTATTTCTCAAATATATTGCTCCCTCGCCCCTTAATGCAGTTTTCTTCCTGTGCGATATATGTGTGCAGAGTGCTGAAGAGGGGGGAGAGATTGCTGCATTCTCCCCCTATTTTTTTCAATTAACCATCTGGAAGGCATTAATCAAGCTACACATTTTTACTATGTAGGCATAACCAGTGAACTGTTAACGAGAAAGCTTCATCTTCTGAGCCCTGTGGCCTGGGAGGGAGGAAAGACAGGAAAAAAGAAAAACAGGAAAGCAGAGAGAATGAGATGGCGAACCAGTGAGAAAGAAGAGGGAAAAAAATAGAAAAAAACATCAATGGTAGGAAAAGATACCAGGGAGGGGGAGGGAATGGATGAAGCTGGAAAGAAAATTGGAAATGGGAAGGGGGGAGGAGGAAGGTGGGGGAACAAGCACCCATGGGAGAGAGGGCTGCCCCAGTGGGGGTATAGGGGCAGGGGCTGTGGCAGGGCAGGCTGGCAGCCCCGCAGAGCTGCTGGCTCTTTAAGAAATCTCGTGTGCTAAATTTATCTTCTCTGCTGTCTGTGAAGTCTGTTTGTAGGAGATGAAGCCTTGAGGAGAGCCTTTGCCACTGCCTGCCGTGCTATAAATAGATCCGAAGAGACGAAGGGAATTTATATATATCCTCACTGGGTCTAGATACAACACTGCAACTGCCCTCTCTCCGAGCAGGGGGCCCAGGCGAGCTCTTAACCCTTTTATCTGTAATGCAGTTGGGGTGGAGGAGAAAGCTCAGAGAGGGGGGAGAAGGATAACAGGACAAGAGCCACTTAAAAATTGCCACCGCGGCTTTGGGATTGCATGTGCTGCTTTCCCAGCCTCCCAGCTCGGCACCTCCAGGAGGGCAGCTGGAAACGCAGGGGCTCTGCCACCCTAATCCTCCTGGACTGGGGTAACGGGGCACAGGAGACCACGGGGGTGGGGCAGTGGGGGAGGCAGACGCAAAGCACACCCGGGGGGAGCTGCAACCTTGCCAGGAAAGCCCAAGGTGGGAGGTGCAGAGTCCATCCTGGCCGGGACTGAGACCAAGGAGTGGTGCACGGGTATGAGTCATCCCCGCTGCCGCACACAGCCCTCCCTTTATGTATTATACTGCACCCCTGGGAAATGGCACTTACAAATGCGGTCGCCTTTTTTTCCCCTAAAGTGGGAGATGCAAAAAATGTATTTAAACGAAAATTTTCCACCCCATTTGTGGACCCCCTGCGGGCCCTAAACCTTTCCACGGCGCCCATCCCAAAACTGCAGCCTGGCTGGCCGAGCTGGCCGCTCGAAGGACGCCCAGGCCTCCGCCTTTCCTGCTCCGAGAGGGACCCTCTGGCCAGGACTCGCTTATCACCTGCAGTGCTGGTTGGAGATGCAGAGCGTGACACAGTGAGATATGGCTACCACGCTCCATGCACCAAACCCCGCTCGCAGCAACAGCCGGCACAGATCCAGAGCCACTCCAAGCCATTTTTGCAAGATCACACCGATTTGCACCGGCAGAGATTTACATTAGGGCAGAATTTATCCCTGTTGGTTCAAAAAGAAGAGAACCACGGGGCAGGTAGGACAGAAAGGAGAAAAACGAGATGAAGAGGACATTTGTCCTCGAAAGCTGGACAATTTCTTTTTCCTTCTGACTCAAGGGCGGGTGTATCCACACCATGTAGTTCAGCCCCCTGCAGAGGAACCCCAGACAGATGCAGGTCGTGCACTCCTGGTGATCTGCCCACGTAACATGGCTTGGGCAGGTGAAAATTGGAACCCTGTCAGGTTTTGCTGTGGTTTTGAAGCAGAGGTAGCGCAGCCGTCTGCGGTTGTGCCGGGCTGGAGCCACCTGCTCCTCCAGAGCATTTCAGCTGCAGTGCCTGGCGAGCCCAGGGACGACAGCACCACAGCAGCACCTGGATGTGGGGGTCCTGAACTGTAGCAAGATTCAAGAGGCATCAGGTCCAGCTCAGGTCCTGTCTCTGGGCTTCCTAAAGCCTGATAAATCAGCCAAACTTGGCATAAAGCAAGTGATATCCCAGAGAGGATGGGGGGGTTAATTTTTTAGACTTTAGATCTTAAAAAGCATCCTGGACATTGGCTTCCCTTTGATACACCCTGCTCAAAGTCCATGGGTGTCCCACAGCATCTGTCACGGCTTTGCACAGCACCTGCCACCATTTCACCACTGGTGAGATGGCCACCTGTGGCCTCTGAGACTGACTCACCATTCACTCGCTCCCAGAGAGGCCAACAAGAGCTTTCTCAAGCTCCTTTGGTGGCTGTGTGCTATGGGCAGGGGGGACTCAGGAAGGCAAGAAGAGGTTTCATGCACCTCTGGCAGTCAAAGGGGGGAGTAAGCAAAACTCAGTCACCCCAGGGACCTTTTGGGGGCACAGCACATGACATCTTTGGTCCAGAAGGCCACAGGACCAGCCTTTGCCTCATGCTCTGATGGGTATAACTGTATTGCCTTGATATGCTCTGAGCTGTTGGGTGAAGAGATGTGTTTGCTTGGCACATGGAAGACTGCATGGGGAGGATTGGATGGACAGAGGGATGGGGGGGATCCTGTCTCAACAGGGTTTACAGGCGATCAAAATGGAAGGAGAGTAAGAGGTGGAAAAATGAGGAGAGGATCAAAGAGTGATGACAGCATGAGCGTTGAAGGGGGAGGCAGGAGGGGACTTGAGAGACAGGAGAGCAGATAGTGCAGGACAGGCCACCAGGGTAAGGGAACAGAGGAGAGGGATCAGGGAATGCAAGGAGTAAAGCAGCCTGGGGAAGAAAGCGGCAGAAGAATGAGAGGTTAAAGCCAGAGGAGCAGATACTCACTCTGTGAGAAGGGAGATGAGGAGACAGAGAGCAAACCATCACCCTGTAAACAGCTCTAGACAGAGCACACTGCCTCCAGAAGACGCAACCACGGTGAAAGGGAGCGGGGAGCAGAGGGAATGCCAGGGAAGGCAGGATGCCACCTTCCCCGTGGCGTTAGCATGAGGCGCTGGCGCCCGGCCAGGCTGCATCTTCTCCCTCCCCCTCCTCCTCTCCCGCTTCTCTGCCCACCTCCCTCCCCGTTTAAATTCAGAAATTTGTGTGGTGTGAAATTTCAGCTGCTTTGACGGCGATTCACAGAGACACTGCCCATGGGAGGGGAGCGCCTGCGCCGGGCACGGGGAGCGCGCTGAGACATCCTCCTCCTTCCAGCCCCTGAGCCCAGCCACCAGCACCACCCTCCAGCTCCAGCTGCCCTTTCCTCCCTCAGTCTCTGCCCACCCCACAGGCCTCCGGCTCAGTCCCCCCACAACCTGTACAGCTCCTTCCCCACGTTCATCCCCTGCCCTAATTGTCTCTCCTGAGGTCTGTAGGCAGTCGTGCTATCAAGCAGCCAAGTCCTCACTGCCCTGCTACTCCACTGCACATCTGGCAGGCAAACACAGTTCACCTGGGGGGAGAACACGCAGTGGAGAAACCACTGTGCATCTTACAAAAAGATAAAAAGAGAAAGGGGACATGTATGAGACGCTGAGCGGCTCTGAGGGCTGATGGAGATCCCCTCCCCTGAATCAAGCAGAAGCCAAAGCAACATGGATACCTCACTCTGGAGAGTGCCCCTCATCCCCAGGAGAGGCAGAGACCACCTCTAGGAAAACTGCCACGAAGCTCCAAGCCACACAGGGCTAGTTCTGGATCTCTGTTACAAGGAGGAAAGCTGTGCCCACTTGAAGCTTGAATGGACAAAGCAGAGGCTGGCACAGAGAGGGTGATGCAGCCTCGCCTGCTCTCCCAGCCCGGCAGCAGCACAGCCCCACCACAGCTGCAGCTCAAAAGGGAACACTCAAGTTCCTGCAAACCATCAGTCCTCCACAAATATTTCAGCTCTCTGACACGAACACCACCAGCCATTTCATTCCCTCTCTGATCCTCCTCATCACTGTTTATTTATTAATGGCTTCTTCTGTCTTATTTAGAATGATTATATAAGTTCACAGACATATAGCAGCTTTGAGCTCCGACCTGCCATTAAAACCTGATGTGGTCAAATGTCTC